GACATGTTATGTATGTTAGCATCTTCTGTCTGCGAACATTCTTGGTTAAGAAATCTTATTATTTCACCAATTTCTGGTAATGAATGAGTAACTGGATCTTCGGTTTGACTGGAACGGAACGATTCAAGTTTTTTACGTAGTTCCTGGTCCATTTTACGCAAAAGGAGTGCGGACAATAGGGGGTTGTTGTCACTAACGTCACAATTTAATGCCTTAAGAGCTTGTGTGTGTTCCGTAAACAGGTTTACAAATTGGCGCAAACCTTTGAGTGAAGTTGCCGTAATGTTTGGCAGGTCCAACAATTGGTTAAGATGCAATGATTGCAATCTTCGATTGTTGTGATATCTGTCACGTAACAATTCATAGGCGACTAGATAATTAGGAGCGGTGAGATTTAAACTCCTTATTAAATTGAGAGGCTCTCCATTTAAGACAGAGAGTAAGTACTGGAATTTCATAACAGAGGATAATGAAGCATTACGGTGGATTGCAGTGTCAAAAAGATTGATAAAACTTGTCCACGTTAATGGATCGCCAGAGAATTTTTGTAAGTCCAGTTTAGGTAATCGTACTTGTGAGCTTGGATGAGTTTCTGAAACAGAAAACGATTCACTGAACGCGGAAGGGGTTTTTGGTGGTTCTGAGGGAACCAGAGTTTCAATCGTAGCTTGAATGTGAGAGAACATGTCTTCAATAGCATCTTGATCATTGGAAAGAGTCTTATCATCGATCCCTTCATCTTCCAGAACGAAGGCACGTTGAAGGTTATTTTCAAATTCACTGCGTTTCTTTTTTATTTCCAACGCGTAAGCGGATAATTTCTTAAGTTGTAATGGTGTTAGAGGGTCGATTTGAGTTGATAATTCATCTACTGTAGCCTTAAGTTTTTCAAAACGTGATTTAATCAGCGCCGTAGAACGGGTGTAGATTGCGGACTTAAAATCAGATGCTTTAGGAGGCATTGTGAAGTGTTCACTTGAAAGTATTCACACGAAAATGGAAGTTGTGGGTACACAAAAGGCTTGTAGCTAGGCCTATGAATGGTATTAGCTTAACAATGTAGTAATTAATTGTCCGCTGAATAATATAGAGATAAAATATTATAAATATCTAAAACATATATCCACCTACTTTGTAGCTTAATTGAGGCAAATAGTGAAAAACACTAAGTGATCAACACGTTAAATAGCAATAAAATATTTTTAAATGAGTGTGGCAGGTTTAATTCGATTTTCAAACTATAAATCAACAATTGAGCTTAGTTGAAAGTATTCAAGTACGGTAATAATAATGCACAATAAAACAAGAGATATGATAGAACAAATGAATGAGTCACATGAAAGTTCACCGTTATTTACAAAAATAATAAATGGATCTAAATAAGTTTAATGAGAGTAGGCCTCATTAATGAAACAGTGTAGAATAATCCTTAGTAAACAAGAATTGCAACATAAAGAGTAAGTTATTACCCTAATAAATGAGAAAGGAACATAAAATTATAACCATCAATGAAATATGAATCACAATACAAATACGCTAGCTAACAGTTTTGTTTATATGTACAACACTAGTAATAAGAACCAGTAAAAACGATTATTTTGAACTATTTATTAAAATGTTAATTGACAAGATAAAATTACCTTAAATATAATATCGCACGTTTGTCAACCAAAATTACAGAGATGAACTAATTTAACTTTACTTCATTTAAAATCAAAATTCAGAAAGCATAAACAATGTTAAATAACAATGACAAATTATTGTTTATTTAGTATGATATTCAAAAGAGCAATATTGATTCAAAGAATAATAGTAAATACCTAATAATAACCTAACAGTTGGTTATTAATAATATCAATCAACCTTATTACACAATACACCTTAAATGAGAAAATGTAAACAACAACAAACGCTGTACAGTGAGTGACAGTTGAGATATGCGTCTGCTACTAGTGTCGGCCGTCTGCACGCGACTAAATCCCGCAACTAAAACTAAATCCCGTTTTCGGGATAAAAAAGCCAAGTAGGGAAAAATTGTCTACTACTAGAGAGAACAGCAAATTGTACATGATTGTGACCTGCGCAGACGCGCGAGTGGAGAGAGATTGCTAAACCACGCCCACGAACGGAACGAACGCGAGCCGATATTTTACCAATATGGCGAAAATTGAAAATTGCAGATCGCTAAAAATATGGTTGATGATGAAAATTGGCTGAAATTAATTACCACAGGACTTTAGACAATGAATCCGGCTCGAAGGACCAAATGTTGGGGGCGTAATGGGTGAAAATGAAAATAATTAATAACTCGAAGGACCAGAACTAATTAATAGTTCAAGAGAAAAATAATTAAATTAGAGAAAATGGCGAATCTGCAATTTGAAGGGCACTGAGGTCCCGAGATGGAATAAAATGTCTTGTGAGGGGCAAATGAGATTAGTTTTAGAGTCTAATTAAAACACACACAAAACTTTAAGGTTGTACCTTGAGTCCAATTATCCAAAGGTGGAGAGTATGGCAGCGGCGTCGTCTATGGTGGAGCGATGGCGGATGGCGGAGTCCTTAGACCGAGTGCTTCTGTTTTGTAGAATTTTGGAGAACGCAACGCACCCAAGTTCATAATCACAAAGAGCTCACTAATACGCGGAAGTCGCGGTGAAAACGTACGGAAAGTCTAGAAGTAATACACGGACGCGCACACACTGTCTTGAGGTTTGAAGAGTCTGAAAGCACTAGATCACAATTTAAGTAATTTAATCACAAACAAAAGGGGGAAATTAAAATGTATATATAGTTAAATGTACTATAGAGGAGAGGGAGGCCAGATATAATTAATCTATAGCCTAAAAATACGTTTAAGAGAGGTAAAATGGGCAATTAATGTCCCGAGATACGAGAAACGGAATACACCGTGAGTTATGGACGCCGACCGTGGACAGACAGACGCCGATCGCCGGCTTCACACTTTGAAAAATGCAATTGCGGTTAGAGGGGTCTAGGAATTCGATGGCCAATAGGAAATGCGATTGAAGCAAACACGGCGTCAGGTGATTCATGGGTATGTAGTACAGGAAAATAGGCCTTACTGGCGGGAAATTCGAGCAGGCTTAGCAATCTCATTTGAATATTGAAAGCGGGAGTCTATTTACAATAAATTGTTACTGAGACTAAATAATATTACAATAAATGTGGTGATTTCTATACACATTAGCATGATTAATTAACCAGTGACTTAATTAACATAATGATTAATTTCTAAATACTCTAAAAATATGAATACCGAACAGTTTCTATTATACAACTATTTACTTAACCATCATAGTGCCCATCCTTCCTCTGACAGTTTTAGTTGAGTTTTAAACTGTTCTTGGTTAACTTTTTAAAGCAAACATTAAAAAAATATAATTGCTAAACACAAAATTGTTAATATTTTTTAGGTGACAAATTGAAACTCTAAACACAAAATACAATGTCTTTGGACTCATCTTAGTTCTGTTTTTAGTAAATGAGTGAAAAATAAATTGAGTTTATAAAAATACTAGCAAAGTACCCGTCCTTCGTACGGGGTTGGCATATAAGTTTAAATTACTTATTGCAGTTATACTCAAGCTTTGCGTTTGCAATGGGGGAGAACAAAGTTTGATCAAATTTGCTTCTTTAAATTGACGGTATACTATGGTATTACACATCTATCATAGCCATAATGTTCTACCTCTTCACCTAAACAATAAAGAAAAATAAAGTATTACAAATTTAAAAAATCACAAATTATTCATGACATTAAACACATAAACATAACTGTAAACAATCCTACTTTGACAGTTCTCATTGCGTATCACAGTTGTTTGTTGCTGCTTAGTTCAAATAAGTTTTTTACATAAATGCAAAAAAAATATAGTGCTGCACCCTGTTGGTAAATCTTATAACTTTTTAATGCTTTTGTATATCATAGAACCAACTTTTTTGGTTGAAACAGCTGACTAAATTCTTTAATTCCCTTTAAATATGAATACTCATAAGGTTAACATGGGGAACTACAGAGCCACTGGGGTGAAGCCCGAAGGGATTTTTGAGATAAGAATATGCCTATATGTTAATCGGGAATGTGAGCTATCATCATGCCAAATTTCAGCCCAATCCATCCAGTGGTTTATGCGTGATTGACCTTCAAACACACAAACACACAAACTTTCACATTTATAATATTAGTAAGATGAAATACAAATTTGTTTTAAAATCGCCTGTCTAAATGTGATATGAAAACTTCATTTCATGTACATTGTAACCATAAGCCAATAGATCTCTGAGGGATGATTTTGTCCAACTCACAAAAAGTATATCTCACAAGTAAGAATATTTATTTGTTTATATTATAGGGATAAAAGACTCAAGAAGTAATTTACAATGAGTAATACAATGTTGTAATAATATAAAAAGATATTAGTTGTAAAATATCTTCAGCAATGAATTGTACTAATTAAACTGCTAAATTTAAATAAAATCATCTAAAAACATTAATCAAACACCTATTATTTTCCTTCCACATCCCCTACAGTCATAGTCACTCCATTCCAAACACTCTTACATGATCACGTTAGCATTACAGAACTTTTTCAACATCTGGCAATTGCTAAAAATCGTATTATAAAGTTTTCCTCTATTTATTTTTATTTTACGTTCACTTTAAATTTCTGGGCAATACATTTGACAGTGAATAGAACTTTATAGTTTGCAAAAGTCAATGGAAATAAATAGGCCTATATGTTGCTTAAATACATAACACATACATACACACATAACACATACATATACACATACATAACATACATATGTTTGTGGAAACTAACATACACAAGATTAAGCGCACTAGGGTGATCACCTTAATCAAGTGATCAAATAAAAAAAAAAACTTAAAAAATTTTTATTTTAAGATTTTGTTCTTGTTGGGCATCTTAATATTAAAAATAATTAAACCGGAAATAAACAAGCTGATTTCTCACCTTATCACCAAAACTGTTATCAACACAGAAGGCTTGGACTGGGTTATCACCTCTGGGCAGACAATCACACAGCTGGCAAATGTCTTGTGAACTGCTAGCGGAGGTCAAGATGAGCAGTAAGGCGGCCAACATCTTGACAACTGACTAGGAACTGCACCAGTTATCAGGGGAAGTCCTGTACATGATAATAGTTCTCAACAGAAGCCGCTGTCTTGCTGTGACATCATAATCATCACATGTTTTGCCAAGTCGTTTTTACAATGACACATCTCTTCCCTCTGTTTTGATGGCATCATACCTACAAAACGATAGATGGATAATAATGTGTTTACTATTTCAAATCTTGTGCACACATTTTTTATAGTACTGTAGCATTGTTTCACTTGTATTTTACTTTTTCTCCTCCTTAATTGTGTCTCTACCAAATAGTAAAGTGCCCTGCCAAAATCATTTCAAAGACAATTTTTCCAGCTGGTAATTAATCTATCTATACTTATTTAATACGCAAGCAGGTTTTTTGTGACAATTACTCCTCATCCGAAACTACTGAACCGATCCCATTGACATGTTTTTTATGTCATTGGAAAGAGCGTAACGTGAAGTTGCGCAGGAAACTTTCTTTTTAGGGAAATAGTTAGAGTGTGAAGCCGTGGGGCTTTTTTAAGTTTTGTATTTCTCCATAAGATTAACATTTGAAACAAACATTGTTATGAAACTCCAGCTGTTGTCAGAAATTAAAAGTGAGAAGAAGAACATATGTTAATTGTAAAATTGTGACAGAGAGGTTATGCAGAAAATCAGGTCGTTAATGGTTATTTGATGCTATTAAAATAAAGACTGAAATTTTGTAAACGTACTGGCCACAATGGGTTATACCATGCAGACTACATTATCATTGACAAAGACTAACATGGACAACCTATTGCGGTATAAGTGGGAAACATTTGTACAATACACTAAAAGCCAGATCAGCTTTTGAAAAACGATAAAATATTTACAAGAAATGTTGATTATATTGAACTGTTAAGTACATTGTGAGTACGGGATTATCATTAGTTACGTAATCTTTGAGTTGACTCTTTTATTTAAACTCATCGGAATTTATGACTTATATTTGATTACAAATAAGTTGTTTGTTTTTAAATAACTCCTTTACTTCTTTGCGATTGCTCGATTTTGAGCAACATGTATACTAGTCACAATAAGTTCACATAAACTAATAAGTCATCATAAACTAGTGTAGAACCTACCTGTTGCTCGAAGTCGAGCATTTGCTAAGTATTACAGGCATTATTTTAAAACGGAAAACAGTCATAATTTATGATGGCTTTAAAAGAGTCAACTCAAAGATTTTGGAAACACTCACGATTTACATAAAAGTTTGACAATCAACATTTATCTATCTATAACTATAAAAGAGGAACTATTTATGAATGTATGTGTGTATGTGTGTATATACATTATGGACTCCGAAACCACTCGACAGATTGTAATGAAACTTTCAGGCATTATTAAGCATCTTTCAAGGATTGTTCGAGTGAAGTTTGGTGCAGATCCGTCAAAAGGGCTCTGCTCCAGAGGGTTTTAAGGGGGCCAATGTCAGACTTTTTGATCTACAATGTTTACAAATAAATATAATTTAAAAGCAGATGTTTACTTTCACCAGCTGTTTTGCAGGTTTGAATAATCACAATTAACATTCTGTATAAGCATTAGTCATGATTTGAAATAGTGCCACAGTGTTTCTACAGAGTGCAGCACAGAAAACTATTTTACTTTTGAATAAGTCCAAATGTATGTGCCCCAATCGCAGCACACCTGTGCACTCAACAACGTTTAAATTCTCCGAAGTTAAATATTAAAAACATAAAAACCTTTATCAAAGGGATGACAATGCCTTAGTATTTTTATCTTTTGTTCTATACCCACACAATCTAACATAAATTATTAAGTGAATAATAATCGTGCGTGCTATCTCGGGTATTCAAATGCCTCTCAATTTGTCATCAACCCACCACATTACTGTCATTAAAAGAAGGAACTCCAATAATACAAATGCGAAACTTAAATCCATTTAAGCTGTACAACATTACCAGACTAACAATAAAAAAGACGTCAAAATTGATTAAAGCAAAAATGATCAGTGGTAGGTTTAAGGGAGAAATAGTCTTAATCATAAGAATACTGATGATTTCATCCGAATTAACCTCTGAATTTAAGTAACTACAATTTCCTTAGTGTCTTGCTTAAAAAAAAATAAAAAAAAACATTATTTATATTTCTTCAAGTTGCCGGTGTTCTATGAAATTCCTATGTTTCCATAGTTTGCAAATCGGCTCTTTCAATGATTGCTGAAGAAATGCAGCACAGGGTTAATACAGTTTTCTTTTTAGTATACCAAATTTTCCAGGATTTCTTGCTTTTTACTTTCTCCCCCTATACCATAGTATATAAAGAGAAAGTATTTTTTTCGTAAACATTTTCGAGTTTGAGTTTTGAGTTGATATATCTGTTTTGGGTCCCCCAGGACCCAAAAAAGTGGTTTTCGAAGTGATGTTTAAGTGTGTGTGTCTGTGTGTCTAGATGTGTACAGAGCTAGGGACTACACCAGTGGCCCGATTTCGATGAAATTTGGTGTATAGGTTCCAATCCATGGTATCTCGAGGTGTTTTTTTCATTTTTTAAAATTTTGATTTTTAATGTTGATTTTCCCATAAAACCCCATAAAATAACGGAAAAATCGGATTTACTCAAAAGCGGCCACAACCAATTTGATAATAATTTAGGATGGTGTAGCCCTTTAAACAAAATGGTACAACTCCAATTTCTGTAAAAATTATGGTTCAAAAGTTATTTAAACTATGTTATTTTCCCATAAAAACCTATAAAATAAGATAGAAAATCGTATTTTTTAAAAAAGGCCGGTTTTAGTTCATATTAGTATGTGACATTCGTTATAATTCCTAACAACATAGTGCAACCCCCAATTGCTGTAAAAATTTAGGTTCAAAAAATATTGAAGCTTATTTTGTTTTCCCCTAAAAAACAATGGAAAAAGGATAACAAATTTTTTTGATTTAAATTCCTCTGTTTTGGTCCTTATAAATTAATGGATGATAATGATGTCCACACAACCCGCAGGAAACTCTCAGGATTTTGCTGTGATAGTGGAAGACTATTTTAATATTTCATTGACCTTGCGTGATATTCTAGATTTTTACGCTATTGTAGAAGACGATGATGACGTTTCTTTTTCCTCAGGAGATATCTAGGATTTGTCGTGATTGCGCCTTTTGTCGCCTAAACAAAATAGTGCAACACCCCATAACTGGCTGGGTAGCTGAGTGGTTATAGTGCTCGCCTAGTAATCAAAAGGTCGCCGGTTCGATCCTGAGAAAAGTCAGTAGCTTTTTGATGGTTTGAAACTGGACCCAGCTGTTCCTGATCATTGGGCTTTAAATAAATGATCCTGGCTAATGAAACAGCTGATCTTAGTCAGTAACAAAGCTACACAGATCATCACACACCATTCTACACTCATCCTTCACTCATATTTGGGTTAAAATACGCACCTAAGTGGCGTCCCCATCTTAATGATTGATAATTTTGATAATTGATAATTTTGATAATTGATAATTGATTCCTGTATAAATTACGGTTCAAAAGCTAATGAAATGAAACTTTTGTGATTTTACCCATTAAATATCATAGTTAGTTCTCATCGCTTACCCCTGATAAAGGTTATTTACAAGCTAATGGGAGAAAGTATTTGTCAGATTGCTGATACTGTTTATTTTTATTGTAAATTAACCCCAATACAAATTCAAATAGTAAATATTTCATTTCAACCAAGCCAGTAAATGTTTGTAGCACAAACAAAAAATCCCTATAAGTTAACAAAGTTACATGTAGCGAATTAATAATATAGATTTTTGGCCCCACATACAAGGAAACAGAAAATACCAAATTATTAGTTTTTGTTTCTTAGTGCCTCTCAGTACTGTAATTTGGGTTGAGTTAAAATAAACACCATGGGGGAGAGTGTTGTACCTTTGACCAGTTTTCACTTAAACATTTTTTGTAGAGACAGGAAAGCTCCGATTATTTTAAAAACAATCAACGATGATACTTAACTGTTTTATCCATGGATTAAATATTTTTTCCAGTTCCTTGTCATAAGTTTTAACCTTTTTTTAGTAATAAAGGAAATTTGTTACATGGTAGTCAAAGGTTCAACATGCAGTTGTACCTTTGACCAGCATATCGATTTCAGCCCAAAACAGGTAGAAAAAAACAAATATATATCTTAGTTTTTAAAATATAAAAACAGATACACAAAGTTGAACTTATTATTCATTCATCAAGATTAAAAAATGGCTTTTTCTACTTTTTAGGATAAAAAGTCCACTGCAAAATTGAAAAATTCTCTCTGACGTGCTTATCCACTTGATTTGGCAGTGTTGGGAAGCTTGGTGACAACCTCCTGTCGTTTCCACAAAACAATGGCTTAATCAGGGCCGGACTTACCTATGGGCGAAGGGGGCGAACGCCCGGGGCCCCCGAGCCAAGGGGGCCCCGACAGGGGCCCCCTTTGTACAGTAGTTTTTACATTAACTTCGAAAATTGATCAGACACTTACCAAATGGCCTTCTTTTGTAACAGCTTTATTTTCATTTTCGCTATCCTATGTTCAAGGCTATTGTTAGGTGCATTTTAAGGCATTACTAGGAATGAAATTCTTGACCCTAAGGGACTTTTTCTCAGAGTTGCACTGGCCCCACGCTTAGGCCTGGTTTACACAAGCATATGTGCTAGGCTGTGACGGACAAGTTTCAGTTTCAATGAAGCCGCTCGCCCGAACGTACGGCCGCGGCGAATGAGTTGAAGGGGGTCCCGCGCTTGGGGCAAAAATACAATAAATATGAAAACTCTTGTCCCAACGTAGAACGTAACTTGTAAAATTGTGTTGTTTTAAATGGAGATTCACTGGTGTTCAAATACTTTAAAAAATAAAAATATTGCTCCGTTTATGTTTTATTAAATGTTTTTCTTTTCTTTTACCTCTAAGTATATACCAATCAGGATTTTAAGGGGTAGAAGTATATTATCCGTCCAATTTAAAGGTTTTGTAAAATAGTAATTAATTAAGTTATGCGTCAAAATTTTGATCTCCAATTTAGTCTTTGGAGTCAAATTCAAAATAAGCGAATAAGCAGAAGCAGCTGCAA